TGAGAACCCCCTCACCCAGGCAGGGAAGAAAATTAAGTTGATGGAAACATGACTCAGTTATGTTGTTTGGTACCAAGGCAATACATACTGCTTTCCCTGTTACCATAACCCACTTCATTTCCCTTTTTGCCTTTGCTGTTAGGAAGCTCAAACCAAACTGAATGCTCATTATTTTAAAAAAAAAATTAAAGACAGGTGCCCAGGCTGGTTGCAAACTCCTGGCTTCAAGTGATCCTCCTGCCTCAGCCTCCCAAAGTGCTGGGATTTACAGGCATGAGCCACCATGCAGAGTCATATTACCTTTTTGTGGCTCTTGGCACAGCGTTGTATTCTCTTTCTTCGTATGGTTTTAGGTAATTCTTTTGTTTATTCCTACCTGCCCCTTTGCATGTGTTATGTGCTTTCAGGAAGTAGGGATGATAGAAATGATGCAGACTGAAGCCATCCTTAGCCACCCATGCCTAATAGTGAGTGTTCTGGATCTTTCCCAGGGGCCAGCTGGATGGCAGCAGATTTGATGGAGAGCGGGTGAGGGGTGGATCCAGGGCCGGCACCGACCATCCCCAGGCCAGCAGCCCTGGGGGAGAACAAGGTCAGAGACACAAAGTATGGGGCCAGCAGCTCTGCTACCAGGAAGCCAGGCTGGTGTAGATCAGCCATGACAGAGGATGCCCCACCCACTGACCACAGGGCTGACGACAACTAGCACCAGGAGCTCAGGGGGACCGGGCCAACCAAAACACATCTGTGGGGAGTCCACCTTGCCTGGAAGGCAGGGAGGCGGGTCACAACAGCGCCCCCTACAGGATCTCGTGTGTGAGTGTAGGTGTTTCCATGGGTGTGTGCAGGTGTTGGTAACTGTGCCAGGGATGTGGATGTTAGAAGTGTGAGTGTGCCAGTGAGTCAGGGTCTCAGTCTTTCAAGAATGTGTCATAAGCCTGTCATGAGTACATTTATCGTGTTTGTGTCAGTGCCTGTGTATCAGGAGTGTGTTCACCGTGTGTCTGTGAATGGCCATGAGTGTATCACAAGTCCATGTCATGCGAGCGTGTCAGTGTGTTGTGAACGTGTCACGAGTGTGTTGGCAAGTGTGTCCATGAGTGTTTGTACCCTGTGTTGCTGAATGCTGAGTGTCATGAGTGTGTCCATGTGTCTGCTAGTGTGTCGTATCTATGAATGTGGCATGAGTACATCCATGGGTGAGTGTTGGTGCGTTGTGAATGTGTCAGGAGTGTGCTGGCGAGTGTGTCCACGAGTGTGAGTTCACCACATGTTGTCTGCGAGTAGGTATGAGTGTGTCATTATTGCCAGCGTGACATCTATGAGTAAGCATGAGTGTGTCCATGAGCGAATATGAGGATCCGTGTGTCACGAATGTGTCATGTGTTTGAGTGTCCATCAGTCAGTGTGTCATGAGCATGTCCATGAGTCGGTGTCATGACTGTTGAGTGTGTCCATGAGTGTGAATGTTGTGCATCCCTAAGTGGGTGTGTCATTGTGTCTGAGTGTGTGATGAGTGTGTGCATTCTGGAAAAAACTACACACCATTACCAATGGTTCTCTCTGAGTGGGATGGGGTTGACCAAGGTCAGAGGAGACTTTGCCTTTTTGCTCCTTATTTTTGTTTGAATTGTTCACAATGTGTCACCTTCACACATTGAAAGAGAAACAGCTGTGGGCCAACCTTATAAAAAAGGAAGGAAAAAAATTTAAAAGAGCGAGAGAAACAGGAAAAATCCATGTGTGCCATGTGCAGTATTCCAGACTGAGACCTTCGCACTGTGCTTCTCAGGTGACTGCCAAGGACGGCACAGCACCCCTGCTCCAACCCCAGCCCCAGGGTGGCGGCACTCACTGGGTATCAGAGAACTTGGTTAGTGGTGTTGAGGACCCGCTTGCAGCTGGTGCTGTAGTAACAGTCCACAAACTCCTTCAGCTTCATCTTGCAGTCTTTCTGCTTGGTGACATCTGTCACATCCACACCCTGCTCCAGCCGTGGGGAGGTGCTGGGAGGAGCTCGAGCACCTTGGGAAGTTGGTACAGCCTCCCTGAGGCCAGGATGTGTAGAGTGGACACATACCCTTGGCTGCCGTCACACACAGCAGAGTTGCCAGCGGCTGGATGCTAAGGCTCTGGGTGCCAACGTCCAGCTTCACCCACCTGCTTTTCCTCTGGCTCAGCAAAGTGCCCTGACCACTCTCCCTCTGACCTGGTGATAACTGCAAGGCAGCCAGGTGACAGGCCTCAGTGAGGGTGGCCAGATTAGCGCATGAAACACAGGACACCTGGCCCACCTGAATTTCAGATAAACAACAAACACATTTCAGTGTATGTTCCAAATAATTCATGAGACATACCTACTTTTTAAAAATTAAGCTATCAAATCCCCCACATTTGTAGAGCACCAATTCATGACTCTGATAATTGGCAAACTGATAAAAGGAAAAGCCTTCTCTGTAGTTGACAAAGAAAAGTTCAGGACAGCCAGACAAGCTGAGGAGGAAAATTTCTTTATAAAAGACTCATGACTGAAAGAGGCAGAAGAAAGCACAGAATTGCCAGCAGCCCTTTACAGTAGTTCTCCATGGCTGCTCTGTCCACAAAGTGCAAGGCCATGGGGTTAGTGTGGACAGATGAGATGTGTGCCGTGGCCACTGGCCTTGTTGGCATCACTGCAGGAGTGCGGCCAGGCACGATAGGCCTCCCCATGGATGGAAGCACACGCACCCAGAGGGAGTCCTGCCAAAACCTGAAGGCAAGTCAAGCAAGCCTCTATCCACGAGTTTATAGGAAACACCTGGGACAGAAGGATCTGCTCAATGACACCACTGGGGACGCTGGCAACAAAATGCTGAATGTGGGACATTCTGCAAGACCAACCATGGCCTTCTCTCCAACAAACCAATGAGATGGAAGGAAATGTCGCTGTCAGAAGAAAAGAGACTCAAGGGACATAAAAAGCAAATGCAATGTGGGGGCTTCATTTGGATTCCACTGCCAAATGTAAAGAGGCATTTTTGAGGCAATTGGGAAGAATTAAACTGAGTCTTACACGCCACCGAGGAATT